TGCCTTGGAATTGATTCCAACTCATAGTGACCTTGTATAGGGTTTCCAAGGGGTGGCTGGTGAGCTTGAACCACCAACCTTTCGATTCAAACTGACCTTGCAGTCCAGAGCATTAGCCCACAGGCTACAGAGACTGAAATGGTGGGAGGAGTGGACTGGATATAGGGAGTTAATGGCAAGAGTGGTCATTTATGGTCCTGCTGCTTCCCAGGGACCCTCAGGCAAGTGGCCTGATTGATTGTGCAGATCTCCTGACCCATAAGAGTCTCATGCTTCCCCATTTCTGCATGCAAGTGGACTGCAGCGACAGGCTGGTTCCCATGACTGCAGAGGATAGGAGGCATGGGGAGCTATGTACGTACAGAGGCTGAGGTGGGGTCACCTAACGTGGTAACTCGCGGTATTGGGTCTCCTCCCATACCAGAACATTCTGAATCCTTAATAAAACTTATTACCAATTTTTATCATAGACTCATCAATGATATCATCATCCTGGTGTGGCACTGTGGGTTAATGTTCTGAACTGCAAAGTTGGTTTGAACCTCAAGGTCAGTGGTTCAAGCTCACCAGCTGCTCCTTGGAAACCCTATACAGGGTCGCTGTGGTTCGAAACTGACTTGACAGCACTTAACAACCACAATTATTGTAAACTGCTTAAATGTAATATTTGAATTACATTATTAGTAAGAGTGGAAGTCTTCATACTTCTTTTCCTTCAATTGCTACTTCATTCTCAAAAAGGTTATTGCTATAGGTTCATAAATACTACTTATCACAATATTGTAGCTAGAACACCAGACAATTTGACAAAATTAGCAACTCTAAAAACACTGGCAGTAATGAAAACAACACCTTGCGCTTGTAGCACACAGACACCATCACCCGATTTCAGGCATCACTGTAACTGGGTAATGATGACAGCTCTGACCAGAGCCCATTTAGAAGGTTCAGAAAGTAAATTAGCAGAGAGTTTTAGCTTTGTAGGTAAAGTGTGAAGTCTTGGTGTGGTACTGTAGGATAAGCACTGGACTACTAACCACAAAAGGTCAGCAGGTCAAACTCACCAGCTGCTTCTCAGTAACCCTACACAGTCAGACTGTCTTGACGGCATTTAACAAGCTAAGCTTTTAAGAAAATGTTCTTGTTGTTATAACTATGGGGATAGTTTTACAAAAAAATAATACATTTCTGCTGAAACACTGCACAAAAATGTTGAAGACAGTAATTTTGGTGTCACACTTTCTAACAGTGTCACCTGGTGTGGTCAGTACCCCTCCCC